TTTCTTCCCTGTAAACACATGTAAGCTATGTGGCAGAGTCTTAAGTGGTGAGTAAAAATGACTTCTATACATTCTACAAAACAGGAAAAAAAATAAAATAAAATAAAAATACAACCACAAATGGAGTGTTTTTTTTATCTCCAAGGTCGTCCCTCATGCACATTAGTCTCTATTGGATCTTAACAACTATCATATGGGTCACAAACAATTTATTTGACAATACAACCAACAAAGTTTTCTCCAAAATGGTCTGTATAGATAATTTAAAATCAATATAAAAATAAACAATGAAGTTTGACTTCCCTTTTAAAAAAAATGGACAGAGAGTCTCGACGGTGTAACACAAAAAAGTTTCGAGGATACACATGAAATATATGCACATTGCATTTCATCAAATACAAAAAAGAAAAACAAATGAAGGCAACAGTTCTTGGCTGAATTATCTGTGCTGCATCACTATATTAAGGGCATGACGATTAATACATACATAATGAAAAGCAATATACAAAATTTCAGAGATAAATACATTATTTATAGTTGATATGTTACAAAATTTCCTTCAGTGAGCGCAAGTGTGTATTTGAACAGAAAAATGACAATGACTGACTATATTCCTACATTCTCAATGGGTTTTAATTTTTTTTTGTTTTGTTTTTAAACATTTTTTTTTTGTTGATCTAAAAGAACATGAAAAAGACAGATGTATAAATATTTAGCACAAGTTTGGCAATATCACAATAGTCTACAATTATTTTTTTAACCACATATAAAACACATAAGGGAGTTGGAGCCAAAAGGAGACTGCTCCTCATCAACAAGAAACAGACTTCACAGTAGCCTAGGAATGCATTAATATACAGTGCTAGCAAAAAAGTTGAAAAAACATGGCAAAACACACTTGCTTAAAAGGAAGCTCTAGACGTGGAAGTACATCATATTCATCAACAGAGTAGTGTTTTTGTACACATCAGTGTGCTTGTTGACGTGGAGGATTTTTCTTTTTCACTTTTGAAGATGATTTCTAGCTACAATAAATTACAAAATTTAAGTTAAAATGCAGGAATGAAACATGATACAACATCACCCACCCATCTCCACCCCCCTCCCCCCCCCCCCCCCCCCCCCCCCCCCCCAAAAAAAAAAAAAAAAAAAAAAAAAAAACATATTTT